ATGGTATGTACTACACAGAGGTATAGCTTTATATTATGCTGTCTTATATATCACAATGGTATGTACTACACAGAGGTATAGCTTTATATTATGTTGTATTTATATCCCAGTGGTATGTACTGTACAAAGGTATAGCTTTATATTATGCTGTCTTATATATCACAATGGTATGTACTACACAGAGGTATAGCTTTATATTATGTTGTATTTATATCACAATGGTATGTACTATACAAAGGTATAGCTTTATATTATGCTGTCTTATATATCACAATGGTATGTACTACACAGAGGTATAGCTTTATATTATGTTGTATTTATATCACAATGGTATGTACTGTACTGTATTTATATCACAATGGTATGTACTACACAGAGGTATAGCTTTATATTATGTTGTATTTATATCCCAGTGGTATGTACTGTACAAAGGTATAGCTTTATATTATGCTGTCTTTATATCACAATGGTATGTACTGTACAAAGGTATAGCTTTATATTATGCTGTCTTTATATCACAATGGTATGTACTGTACAAAGGTATAGCTTTATATTATGCTGTCTTTATATCATAATGTCATGTACTGTAGAGAGGTATAGCTATTTTTACTATGCTTTTTGTATATTACAATTATATGCTCGAATGAGGATTATTTATGAGAATAGTCAAAACTTGCAGGTGAAACTCCGATAGGTACGTTGTTTTATTAACTATATTAAAATTATATGTAAATACCTGTAGAGCTTATAGGCCTAAAATATGTGATATAAATCACGTATACCGCAGATGTTTTTTTTCAGGTTTCTTTCCACATTTTACGAGGTTTTTATCAGATATTTTAGGTCTGATGGTTTAGCTAGCTTTCGACACTTAAACCGTATCTTGTAACAAATATAGTTATTTTATTTAAAGACCCGAACGTTTAATTGACGCCGCGAGTATGGTATACATTTGAAAATAGCCAATTATATATTTCAGCTAAGCCTATCTATCTTCTAACTCCACGTACATTCTTTTTAAACTTGATTAAGTTTCATGTTAGTTACAACTTATGAAAACTAGCCGTAAACTACCTTAGAACGGTTTGTTTTTCTGTAAGAGGATAAGTACATTTTCACGAATCGAATGTGTCTCTACACCAGCGTGGGAAATATATATAAGAATATAAAATATATAATCATTCTTTCTACAACTTACCCAAAGGAGATATGGCCTCGCAGTCTGGTGGGGTCATCCGGTCGGAGCTGTAGTCGCCGCCATCGTCGCTAGATCCTCCGTCCGGGTTTATGTGTGAGCTCGCGATCAGAGCGTCTATTGAAAAGTGTTTGGCTCGTACAGAAAGCGGGGGTAGAGAGTTCGCACGGGCATGGAAAGAGACGGGTGGCGGCGGCGGGTCCCCGGGGTCCATGGCCGGGCTACGTGGACCTGACGCCACCATAGATTTCGTGGTGGGGCGGTTGATCTTAGACGGGAAATTAAATATACTCTTGAGATACGATGGCCAGTGTCAAAAATTAATGGGATGTAAAAACTGTATAAATAAAGCTAACACTTGGGCAAACAAACTGCTAACTAACAAAGAGCGAGCCCGCCAAACAGTCACTAATATGAAGGTAGGAATAAGACACTATAAGCATGTTCAAACCATTTGGCAAATATCTGTTGGCTGAGCGTAGGAAGTCAACGCTCTGATATCAATTGATTAGGAAGTTCACATTCGTATCAACTATCTATAGGAGGCGACTGTTGTAATTCAGTTGATTTTAATAACTTCTCATGAACATTTACGAGTAATGTGCGAATCTTCTTCTGACTAAAGATTCATTTATACTTGATTCCTCCCCCCTTTTCTCTCTCTCTCTCTCTCTCTAGGTCCTTTTGTGGTCTCAACAATGAATTTAAGTCAGTTTTACCAGGAACAGAGATTGTGAAATTACGACCAGAATAGACACGGATCCTTACATGAACAAATCCTGGATATATCTAAAATATGGTTAGCTAACTCCTCTTTGGGATTCTAGAGGGGGGAGCCAAATAAACTTAGGCAGCTAGGAAGCCTTTACGGAAAATCCCACAATATGTTTTGTAATACGAAGTAACACTGTGTGTGTTTGTTCTTAGATGCTCCGTTCTGTGCAGGCTTATCTTTCTGCTGGGCACCGGTTTCGTGGCAGCTCGAGGCCAGGGTGTTAAGTCATGAAGCCGTACCAAGCTTGCAACACTGGGAATTCTTACGTGCTTACTCTGTACTTAAGTCTGTTTTCTAGACGTACGCAGGCGCTCCGGTAACAACACACTGACTTGGGAATGCTATTGGCGACATTCAACAGTTTGTAACAATCCTCGGCTCATTCAGCCTCGGCTCATCGACGCGCTGCCCAGTAACCACCTATAGGAAGTGGCGCCCTCTACAACGGTTACAGTTTTCTAATATTCTGTGAGGCCTTGGCGAAACGGCAAGGTCTGTCAGTTGTGTGAACCTCTCATCATATGATGAATACATGTTTTCTTGCTCTGTGGCGCCACCTACTCTCAGGGGATACTGAAGTGAGCTCCTCCCCTTTGCTCTTTCACTAGCTGAGAACATGTGAGATTATTGGGTGTTGTACGTCCTGTGTATTACAGAGGAGTTACGTGCGAAGTGAAACTGGCGCACATCGGAGGCGGAGTTGCCGAAGAACCTGAGCTGAGATTGGTTGACATGTTTTCAGTTTTTCCTTTGAGGACTCCGAGTTTTGGAGAATATCAGTTTCCAGAAGGTAACAGCTGTTTACTTGGTGTGCTTAGTTGTGATTTATTCAAGCTTTTCCGTGTCACTTCTCTGCTTTGTGTCACTGAACACTTCATGTTGGCATTTGACACTTATCACTTGATTATTTGTGTCAAATAACGCATACAAGGAGTGTCTGGTTGACAAACAGATTGTATCATATATTTAGTAATCGGTATCCACGGTTCTATAAGTTAGTTATTCACTCACTTGTTTTGTGTGTTTTGTGATAAATTGTGTAAAGTATATAGTATCCAATTGGAAGCATGTTTAAAAATATATATATATTGCATACGGATTTTATAAGTAAATGTCAAATTTTATTATTTCATAAAATTTGATATAAGACAAGTCTCACAACAGAAAAAAAAAGGTCGTGACATTTCCGTAGATTTGCGAAACTGTTCAAATAAATCTTAGTTATGTAATTATATTTTACTTATCTCGTAACTGCTGTTCATGCGCGAAGAGGGTAGATGTTTGTATTTATAATGTTTTAGGACTACTTATGCGTGAAAACATTTATATAAGAAATTGATAACACGCGCGATGGTTTCGGTGAGGCGCGTGATAACTGAAAGCGTTTTACCACGTAAATATATGGTTAAAATCAAACTTTCAAAAGCAAAATTTTCTGTGGTGCTCTAAAAGCTTGCGTGCACATCTAATGTAATGGATATTGAGCTTCAATTAGCAGAAAAACTTTAGTGCATTTCTACTTTCTTACAATCTTTGTTGTTGTTGGTGCAACATTTCTACCTTCTTACAATCCTTGTTGTTGTTGATGCAACATTTCTACATTCTTACAATCCATTTTCTTGTTGGTGGTGGTGGTGCAACATTTCTACTTTCTTACAAACCATTTTCTTGTTGGTGGTGGTGGTGCAACATTTCTACTTTTTTACAATCCTTGTTCTTGTTGTTGTTGGTGCAACATTTCTACTTTCTTACAATCCATTTTCTTGTTAGTGGTGGTGGTGCAACATTTCTACTTTTTTACAATCCTTGTTCTTGTTGTTGTTGGTGCAACATTTCTACTTTCTTAGAGTCCTTTTTCTTGTTGGTGGTGGTGGTGCAACATTTCTACTTTCTTATAATCCTTGTTGTTGTTGTTGATGCAACATTTCTACTTTCTTACAATCCTTTTTCTTGTTAGTGCTGGTGGTGCAACATTTCTACTTTTTTACGATCCTTGTTCTTGTTGTTGGTGATGCAACATTTCTACTTTCTTACAATCTTTGTTCTTGTTGTTGTTGGTAGCGTAACATTTCTATTTTCTTACAATACTTGTTCTTGTTGTTGTTGGTGCAACATTTCTACTTTCTTACAATCCTTGTTTTTGTTGTTGGTGGTGCAACATTTCTACTTTCTTACAATCTTTGTTCTTGTTGTTGTTGGTAGTGTAACATTTTCATTTTCTTACAATCCTTGTTCTTGTTGTTGGTGGTGCAACATTTCTACTTTCTTACAATCCTTGTTGTTGTTGGTAGTGCAACATTTCTACTTTCTTATAATATTTGTTCTTGTTGTTGTTGGTAGTGTAACATTTCCATTTTCTTACAATCCTTGTTCTTGTTGTTGGTGGTGCAACATTTCTACTTTCTTACAATCCTTGTTGTTGTTGGTGCAACATTTCCAATTTTTTTTTACAAACCCTGTTCTTTTTGTTGTTGGTGCAACATTTCTACTTTCTTACAATCCTTGTTGTTGGTGAGGGTGTAAAATTTCTCAGGATACAGTTCCTAGTATATTCATATTGAACGTAATGCATACAAATACAGTTACATTTATTACGTATTGCTCAAATGTGCCTTTTAATATTTAGAACATGTCAATACGTGTCTCTCTTGGTGTCAACAGGAGGAAAGTCGACGATTTTACTGACTTAGAATTTTTTGTGTCTCCGTTACGTATGTGTGGCTATAGATGAAGCATAGCGTAAGCTTTGGCTGTACTATTTCACATGTCTAGCAAAGTAACATTTGATTATCTTACACACGTTGCTAAATATGAGCTTTCAAATGGTAATGTGACGTGTTTAGATAATCGACTAACTATTTATAAACGCTTATGTGATGATGGCCCTTTATAGCTTCGTAGGTATATCCGATAGTTATTATGTGTTGCACTGACTGACTAAAACCACCAGTGGTCAAATGTGGTCAGTTGCAGTGATCAAAAGAGTAAGCGACTGGCAATTAAGTGACCAGTGTCCAGAAAAGTGATCACTGATAAGTTATGATACGCGTCTTTAAAATTGTGAAATTGCGCAATTCTAATGTTTTATTTTTCATCTATTCAGAGAGTAAATTATCGGATACGTAAAACACGTGAGAAATCAATACAAAAGCCCTAACGGACAAATCAGGAAAAAAAAAGCCCGCGAAGACAAATAAAAACAAGGAAAGTGTAAGGTAATACAAGCACGTAAATAGAAATCTTGACACACAACTGAAACCCTAACATGACGCCCACTATAATCAACCATTAAGAATAATTTTAGGGACCTATGAGGTTATAATTTATGTATGCGAGGCATGGCTACTCTTTTGTGGAACCCATAGTTCCTCGCGGTGAGATGTGGACAGGCATTGACCAGTTGACTCTTAGCGGAAGGCTAGAAAACAATAAGAGGTAAGAAATAATAATTTCGATTATTATTATTGTATTAAATACTGGTAATGAATAGATAATTTGATCAAAATCAATGATCATTAGTCCCGCAAAATATTTATTAAGTCCCCGTATGATTATATAAATTGATTATTCAGCGCATTATGTTATTCATGTTTCTCACATTGGGATTTATTGGAGTAATGCTGGTATCTGGATCTAATTTTTTTATACACGAACATACACATAACTTGTGCAATAACTTATAAATTTATAAAGTTGACACGCGAGTTAAACTTTATTATCATATCTGGTCCGGACTCTCCTTTTTATAACACATCTTTTGGATCTAGTAATTAAATAGATTGAAGACAACAGAATGAAACGTCCAAAGGAATATTAGATCATGAAATTTATTCGACTATAGCGAGCTCATGGAAAATTTTATGTAAGCGACTGTTCAATTGCGTCTTGAAGGGGAGGAAAGGCTGGCCACGTGCTGATAATTACTTTGAAGCTTATAAAACACAAACCCTATACACTCGGGCGTGTAGTTGCATGTCACTTCGCTAGTCTTTTTTGATTGGTTCTTTTATGAAAATGCAAGAATCCCTTTGATGTGGCCGACGCGATAAATTTTCGAGGTTTACACCACTTGAAATGACCTTTAAAGCCATATATATATATACCCTTTCTTTAGCTCCTTACGCATTCATCCAGTTTTCAAACGGCTGTTTAATTCATTAATATTGTGGATAAAGTATGGACGCAAGGTCAATTTTAGGCTTACGAGAAACTGTTATATACAGTGGAAACATCAAAAATGTCACTCTATCCCCAAATATTAGGCTTAATCTGTGGATTTGAAAAGTTACATCATGTGGGATTCAAACTCACACCTTTGTTTACCAGGTAGATGTTTAAGCCAGTTTTTTTAATTACCGCGACTCGAACGCCGTATCCAAAGTCTTAGTCTTCACTTCTTTGGTATGTAAGGACGGAAAC